AAAAAATTCTAAAAGGATCTAATTGTAAGAGTATACCGTTACATTATATAGCATATTATAATATATATATATATATATATATATATATATATATATATATATATATATATATTTATTTATATTTGCATTTTCAATTTGCCCCTCCCGTTGGGTAAAAGCTTAAAGCAAATTAAAAGGAAAAAGGCAAGTGAATTTACGGGTAATAAGTATACTATTATAGTATATTGTATACTATTATAACATACTGTTACAGTATATTGCATATTATTATAGTATACTATAACAATATATTGTATACTTTAATAGTATACTATTACAGTATAACTATATACTCCTATAGTATATTGTATACTGTAGCGGTATACTGTTAGGTAACTGTGTTCTTCTTCAATTATTACAATATACTGTTGCAGTATATTGTAAACTATAATAGTATACTGTTGCAGTATAGCTATATACTCCTACAATATATTGTATACCGTAATAGTATACTATTGGGTAGATGTGTTCTTTTTCGATTTTCAGTTGAAATTTCCAATTCAATCACCTCAAATCAGCTCCAAATGCTATCAAATTCCACTATGAACTTTCAGAAGGTATTATAAGCAATATTTAACAGCACTCACTTTGAATCAAGCAAGAAATCTTCACAATAAAAATTTTAAGCCAAGGCAAGAGCAAGAGCTAGGGAAAGAATAGTCAAGAAAAAGTATAGTAGAATTGAAACTAGCCAGAGGTCAACTTCTCAGATAATCAGATCTAATTTCTTTTTGAAGAAGAATATAAGGGAAATGGAAGAACAATTTTGTAAGAAAAAATTACAAGTAAGTCAAGAAGTAGCAAACAAGAAAATAATTTAAGTATCTGGAGTTACTAAAATTAAGACCAAGCCTTCTTTAATCTTGGGTTTTTATCCAAATTTCTCTGCTCCTATAGAGTCATCAACTACCTACTAGGGGTAACCTGAAGTTGTGCCCTTGTCCAAATTCTCAGTGTAGAAAGAAGAGCTATTTTAATAGAATAAATGAATAATCGGGTAAATAGTTTGTGTCGCATGGATAGGAGTAATAAATATTTTGGGCCTGTGCATTAAAAGATAAATAGTTTGAAATTAATGGATATAAAGTGAGATTTTCTCTTAGATAAAACGGCAGTCTATGGGCCCCAAACTTTTTTATTAGCTTATGTTTTTCCTATTGACCCGAAATGGCATTTAGGCCAATTTATTGACAAGTAATAGCTATTATTTTCAATGCATAGATTTTCCTCCTTTTGGGCTCCCAATAGCAACTTAGCCCAATTTTTGAAGCAATTTATTCTTTCTCAGTTGTTAAATTACATATCAACAGTCTAATGATCAATGAATAAATAGGAGTAAAAGTTATTCAATTGTTGAACAGTAACAAACTATTTTAAAAAAATGTATTTGAAGCGATTTATTAAGTATGTAGCCCCTCATCTCCTCCCGCAAGAGAAAAAAACAGATCAATTCACACTCTCACTAAATAAGATATTATAGTGTAAATAATATCTTTCTTTTGCTATTTCACAAATAAAGAAAATATAAGGGGTTGTACTAGTTGAAGTGGACATAATTTTCTAGTTTTTATCAACCCCTCTATGTAAAAACCCTCTTTCTCAGGTTTTCTTTGTTTTAGGATAGTATCGTACGATAACACGAAGAAGAAGACAGAATAATATAAAAGAAAGACATAAATAATAATAAAAAAAGCAAATGCCATGCGGCCATTATTTGTAGATGAGTGGCTACATATATCAGAAAAGCATAATGGCCGCAAAACTAGAATATTGTGCGTGTTATGACTATATTATATTATGGATGTTCATTTAGTACTCCGTTGTAAATAAGTTTTCTGAAGAAGCTTATCCATATGGGACTCCACCGTAAATATGTTTATCTATTTAGTAGTCTACTGGAAATAAGCCTCCTGAAGAAGCTTATCACTTCGGTACCTCGCTATGGATAAACATTACCCCCGGTAGAAGATTATCCATACTGGGTACAATGAGCTTATCCTTT